GCATTGCAGAGATATTTACCCAATTTTCATAAAAACTATTATGGCATTATTTTCAAAGCATGTAACTACAGAGCCATGTGGCCTGTCGGTAAACGCTCAAATGATTAACTGAGAAATGTGGAGGTGGGCGGGGGAAGGCTGCTCGGCATATGAATGTGAGAAAAACAAAATTCAGAAGAGGATGTTTTTGTCTTTTGAAAGCTAAGAATATTTTGGTCTCCAGACTGATGTTCCAGTGCTGGGACCCACAGCCCAGAGAGGAGGAGGGGCAGCCGGCTACAGCTGTTCCAGCGGTACTCTTGAACATGCTTGGAGTTAAAGTTTTCAAGTTCAGGTTCCCTGAGGGGTAAATCTTGGCACTGGTCAAGAGCAAGTTGCAAATCCAATCTGTCTTGGTTAGAGTTAGCCGGCTAAAGAGATGGCACACCCTCCCGCCTGCCGGCCTTTCTGGCTTTCCCATCTCTGGTGGGAATTATTTGAGAGCAGACAAAGGCCTGTGGGCCTGAAGGACAGGTTTGGAAATGGAAACTGCCAGATATCCAGTGGACACCAGGGAGGGAGTGGACTAGGTTAGCCCTCGCTGAGGTCTGGTAAGATTTGCCATGGACAGCCTTGCCTGTGAGACTGGCTGTGAAACCAACAATCTCGTATGAACACAGTAAGAAAAGAACTGAAGCTGGGAAGCTGAACCTAGCAAGCCCAGATACTCTCAGTGGCCGACTTCATCTCCAGCATCATCACTAGCGCTGCTCACGGCCTCTGCTGTGACTTCTACCGCCACCACCATCGTCACCACCGTGTCAACTGCCATCACAACCACTGATGCGGCCACCCTCACCACCAACAGCACTACACACCACTGCCTCCATCTCCCGCCAGCCTCAACACCGGAACCACTACCGTTATAACCCCGTACCCACAGCAACACCAACAGTCTTTACGTTCACAGCCTCTTCTGCCACCCGCAGCAGCAATTCCTCCAGCCTCATCAATGCTGCCTTCACCACCATCACCGACACAGCTGGCCATTGGCGGAGTTGGCCTGGCTGGCGGTGCTCTAACGTACTTTATCATATTATCTGAAAATGTGAAGAGCAAAGTGGAAAAATCCAGTGTTCCTTCCAAAGCCACTGAAATGAAGTGTGCCACAGGGTTATGCTCTGCCACTGACCATGTCTGTTAAACACAAAGTATTTCGGTGGCTTCAAAAATAGAAATGCATCCCAATATTTGGGTGTGCAGAGACAGGAGGATAGATTTCAGGCCAGCTTGGACTACACAGTGAAACAGTGTCTCGGATAAAACTCAAATGTGGCACAGCCATACACACCCATCATCCAGTACTTTCGAAGGCTGCTGGATCATGAGTTTAAAGTCAGTACAGGTTAAGATTCTGTCTTAAACAAACGAACAGGAACCTCAATAGCCCTGTAACACAAGCACACGGGACATGCAGCCCTCAGCTAACCTTCAGAAGTGTGTGTGTCCACTATGAAAAGGGCGCAGTTCTCAACCTCTACTGTAAGGGGCCCAGTCCTTCCCCTAACACCCCTATAAAAATGCCCAACTCCACCCACTGCCAGAATGCTGGATGGAGAAGGAAAGGCAGTTGATGCAAATGGACTGTAGATGATGCAGGGAAAAGCCACTCGACTCCTCTGTGGCTGTCGCCTGCCCTGGATGCATGGAGAAACGTCTAAGTGATATCCTGGAAGGATGAAGCAAACAACCACATCTAAGGGCTGGCAACCCAAGACAGGCACTTCTTTCCTAATGAGACAGAATTCCTTTTAGTTTCTTTAAAATGCTTTAAGCTCTGAGTCCAAGTTGCTCCCCCCAGAAAAGGGACAACGTTTTCCAGATCCAGCAAGTAACATTCTAAGCCTGTCCCCAGGACGTGATAATTTCTGCCATGTGAAAGACAGTCCCAGGTTTAGAATCAGTGTAAAATTAATACAATAATGAAAATTCATGTAAAATGTGCATATTCAGTAACATTTTAATGAATCAATAAGTGTTTGTTGCTTAAAAGCAGAAGCTTGGAAAAACTTGCCTTTTACTGGCAGTCACTTGGAATTAGACTGCTTCTGTTTTAGTTGGAGCCAATTACAATGATCAGATTTACATTTTTGTAAGATTACATTTCAAAGCTAAATTTTCTATAACACTAAATGCTAAAAACTTATCCTGAGATTGGAGTGATTCTAACTCCTTCCCAAGGTAGAATAAACATAATCACATCAGGCCTGGACAAAAATAGTAATAGTTGCTCCAAAAAGCATTTCCATTAATTGGTTAAAATCATCACTGGAATATTTTGAAAAAATATATTTAAACATGAGGTAGAGATTCATTTTTCTAGTGAATTTATTTCACAAGAGAACTATTATGCATTTCTTAGGGGAAGGTCTATTTGAAGTTCCAGGGGCATGAGGTGCAGGCATATATTTCTACTGTAAAAAAGTCATCCTCCCAAACAGGACACACCAAGTGTTTAACACATTAATTATCATCCCTCATCAAGCATAAAACTAATAGTCAGGAAATACAGCTGCAATGGCACAATTACCAATGCACTCAGAATACACCCCGAAGCAAAGACAACAAATGGCCTTCTTTTCATTAACAGAGCTTGGCAAGCTGCTCCTAAGACAATGTTTTCTTTCCCATCAGAATCCCAAAAGGCATTTAAGGGGCTATTGACTTATGTAAACCTGGAGGACAAATCAATTGTGAAAACATTCATTTATACTTCAAAATATACATTATCAATATAGCATGTCATTCTAAAACTATAGGTTTTAAAAATGATTAGATGAAATAAAAATTTTATAAATGCAGACCAAAAGTTTTAAAAGTATATTGGTTCTGTGTATTCAAACAGTATCATCATACCTGATCAGGACACATAGGGAATAACACATTTCCTTTTCACATTTTATGGCATAAAATTTTATACACAAGAATGTCTATCTTTAAAAAATAACGACCTGTATATAACGGGATTCTATTATGTCCAGTGGGAGTCCACATAATTATCAATCAGCTTGTGTCATACCGAAAGCTAGATAAATATCATTCTGTATTCTGTATTCTTTTCATGCTAATGCAAGAACAGTTTATTTGATGGGCTTTTAGCTTATTATTAATTTGACTGTAATACCACTGTATTTTAACAGATGTATTTATCCTACAAGATTATATTATAAATTAGTTATGCACTATTATTTAGACTATAATTTAAGGGAGGGTCAAGGGATATAAAAGCTGTCTGCCAAAAATACTTGTAATTATGTCCTAAATCACAACTGTCAAATTCTCCCTAAATCCCTGCTCAGAAATATGTGAACATAAACATTATGATCCTTTCTGTAGGGCGGACAGTATGGCAAAAATCATAGAGTCATATTTCTCAGCCCAGTAAGCCAGGGATACACTGTGTTCTTCCATGTTTGTGACACAACTTCAGTGTCATGAGTTCATACTGTCATTTTTTTTTTCGAGACAGGGTTTCTCTGTGGCTTTGGAGGCTGTGCTGGCAAATCTATGTTTCAAAAGACAGATAACCTTTGGTACTGGATACAAATGAAAACACATGTGGGCTTGGAGTACAGGTTAAGCAGTAGAATATTTTTCTAGCACGCATGAGGCCCTAGGTTCAATCCTTAATACTATAAAAAGAAAAATGAAACAGCAACAACAACAGAACAATCATGATGGCCCAAAGCCTGTGGTCTGCTCAGGCCAGGCTAAGAACTGTGGGTAGCTTAAATTGTAAATTTAATCTGCCTTGGTCTGGAGGGCTACTTCCTAAGCTGCTGAAAGCATCAGTAAATCACAAAGAAGAAAAGCAGCTGCTTCCAACAGTACCATTGCCGGTGTGACAGAGGCTGCTTGCTGACTGTGTATAGGACATCTGGCTGGATGACAGACATCCAGGATGTCTAAGAAATAAAAAGCCTCTCCTGGTAAGTGTGTGTAGTTGATGGGGTGAAACAGTGCATTCGCCATGAGGCACGTCAGTGAACACCCACAACTGAGCAACACAGGGACTGTGGGCAACAACTCCAAGGCCAGGGATCCTTCGTGGAGTCAGCTTGGATACTGCTCAGGGCAAGTGCACACTCCTGGGTCCCTCGAGACCTGCATTTTCACACAAAGTCTTTGGTAGTTTCTACCTCAGTATTTTGATAGGCTTGTAAGGTGACTTACAAACATTTAAAATCAAAGATGCATTTTAAGGCAAAGCAAAAAAGATAGCTTTTTAATGCTTTATTAGCGAGGTGGACCCTTATAAACTGCCTTAAAAATCAGAAGCGAGCAATTTCATAGTTTGCTTTTGCAAGTTCTTGCCTGATAGTTTTCTTTCACAGACACAATCCAACAACAAAGTAATCACTGTTCTCTCCTGTCATTCTTCAAATCCTTCTGGAATGAAAATCACTGTCTTATCTTGATGTGCATTCATTTTTAGTAACCATTAGGGCAAGGCAATTCCAAATCAGTCTCAATACTGAGAATCAGACACTGTGCACAAATCCCCTTTGAGGCAAGAATCCTTGAGTTTAATGTTGCTCTTTCAATTAGAAAATACTACTATGTTGTGGAAAGTTCCAATCCTATGTTGGAGGTAACTTCAGAATAAAGTAATCATTTTCAGAAATAAGAGAGGAAAGAAATATAACTTCTTAGATGAATATATTCAGATTTATTAATGAAAAATTAGGGATGTAACTCAGTGGTAGAGTACCTAACATGTACAGAGCCTGAATTCCATCCCAGGTAATGGGATAATCTAAATAAAAAGTTACTAGTTACTTGTTCCTGAGCAATCTTGTCTTCAACAATATCAAATAAGTATGCATTATCATGATCTATATTGAGAGGCACAGTCAGAGGCATAGCTCTCCCTGACAGGGGGGGTTTGGGAATAGTGATATTGTCATGGGTTTACCTTGTAATCCAAACAAAACTGCCTTTTCACACTCTGGCTTTCTTACCTTTAGAGTTGTGAATTCATATGGTTGATAACCTTTGAAGCTCTCATGGATGGCTGCCATGGTGTGAGAAGTTTTCTCCCAAAAGTGGAGCAGAGTAGTCTGTAAAGAAAGATGGTCAAATCATTAATGTCTCGAATGCCTACTTCTGACCCTGGTCCCCAGAAAAGTGGTCTTGCCTATGACTTTCTAGGTTGGCTGAACTAATTTGCATTCATCTTTGTACCCCTCTCTGTCCCAATAAGTCACTTAGACCTTGGTGTGTCATCCAACTGAATTTCTACCAATGCTTAGGTTACTCCTAACACCTGGGAGCCTCTCCTCTCCATCTTCTTTGTCCCATTCAGTTCATTCTCCAAAACCCAGGGCTAATCATCCATTTCATTTTATAATGATTTGATTTCTCCCTTTTTTTAAGGGGAGTGGTAGTGGTGAGACAGTCTCATGGTGTGGCCCTGGATGACCTGGAGCCTGCTCTGTAGATCAGGTTGGCCTTGAACTCACAAAAATCTATCTACTTCTGCTTCCTGAGTGCTAGGATTAAAGGCATATTACCATGATGGCCCACTCATTGGCATTCTTAAAAGTTTTTTTTCTGCTTAGAACACCTTTTTCTAGAGGTTTAGGAAATACAGTAAAATCTTACAGCCTCCAGTTTTCTTCCTAAACTTAGAATTCCTTGAGGAGAAGGAATTGAGCTATAGTAATTTTCACATTTCTGCAACTCCAAGCATCTGGTGTTTTTTTTTTTTCTTTTTTCTTTTGGAGTCAACAGCACTGAGGATGGACACAGGGATACCCGGAAGGACCTCAGTGTTAAGAGAGAGAAAGCCAGGTGTGCTGAGTAATCACAACATGAGACATGGAGGGTACTGTGCTAACAGGGTCCAGAGCAGGATCTGGAGAAGGCACAGATGAAGAAAGGTATTCCAGGAAGACAGGACCTACAAAACAAGTTCAGGGAAATGGAAAATTCCACTGTGTGTACAGTACATAGTGACTGTGCCGGTGATTAAACTGGAAGGCCTAAAAGAGCAGAGCAGAGGATGCACTCAGAATTTGTGATGCCCAGGTCATTCTTTCCATCCAAACACAAACTTTCCCATCATCCAAGCCTCTGGCAATTCTTTGTTCATTAAAACAGACATCACTTTGTTACCTGGTATGTTGCTAGCATGTGAGATAAGAGATTGCATCTGCTTGCTCCAAGGAGATCCACCTTCTGACACACATCCATCTTCAACTTGTCAAAGTTTTTTTTTGCAAGGCGTACTTGTGTCTGAACCTACAAAAGTAAAAGCGAGTCTCTGAGACAATCAAGCCTCTATGAAGTCAAACTTTACAGGTGAGGAAAGACAAGCGTAGGGCTTCTCTGTCTTACAGAAGAAAATATCATTACGTTCTGGGCAAATGAGCAGATCGGACATCCAATCTTTAACTTTCAAAATACCTCGATAAGAATTGTGATGATCATAATTTTGTAACAGGCTTACTATATAAATTATATGTTTTGCAGAATGAGATTAATAACTGTCTCCTCAGGGCGACTACAATCTAGTCATAGTGAAGGAGAAGTTTGGAGATGTACAGATGCACAGAAATACTGTTGCCTCCACACTGTTCCTGGTCTCTGGAAGCTGAGTTACCACACAGTCCTCGATGGACTTTTCCTCACATTAAAATCTCATGTAACATTTGCTAAAATTCAGAAACTATCACTGATACAATCCCATTTACTGGTTTCTATACTTCCTTGGTGTTTTTTTTTTCTATTAACACCATTTTACTGTTTCAGAAGCCAACTGAGGCATTATATCAAAGAATTTTGCCACAGTACCTGGAAGCAACCTAGATGCCCCTCAACTGAAGAATGAATGGAGAAAATGTGATACATTTACACAATTGAGTATTACTCAGTGGGGAAAAAGAATCTTGAAATTAGCAAGCAAATGGATGGCACTAGAAGGAACCATCCTGAGTGAGGTAACCCAGTCACAAAACGACAAACATGGTATGTACTCACTCATATATGGATTTTAGATATAGAGCAAAGGATTACCAGCCTACAATCCACACCACCAGAGAAGCTCGGAAGCAAGGAGGACCCTAAGAGAGACATACATGGTCCCCCAGAGAAGGGGAAAGGGACAAGGTCTCCTGAATAAAGGCGGAGGGGAGAGGGAATTAAGAAAAAGAGAAGGGGAGAAGAGGAGGGGAGAGGAGGACATGAGGGAGCAGGAAGATAGAGTTGTGGGTGGGGTGGGGAATAGAGGAGAGCAAGAAAAGAGGTATCATAATAGAGGTTTAAAAGAATCTAAGCAATAAGCCGGGCGTTGGTGGCTCATGCCTTTAATCCCAGCCCTTGGGAGGCAGAGGCAGGCGGATCTCGGTGAGTTTGAGGCCAGCCTACAGTCTCCAAAGCAATACAAAGAAACCCTGTGTTGAAAAACCAAATAAATAAATAGAATCTAAGCAACAGTGGCCTTAAATGCCCTTCCCATAATGAGACCAATGACTACCTTATATGCCATCCTAGAGCCTTCATCCAGTAGCTGATGAAAGCAAAAGAAGACACCCACAGTTAAGCACTGAGCCAAACTCCTGGAATCCATTTGTAGAGAGGGAAGAGTGATGCACAAAGGGGTCAAGACCAGGCTGGAGAAACCCACAGAAACATCTGACCTGAACAAGGGGGAGCTCATGGACCCCGGACTGATAGCTGGGAAACCAGCATAGGACTGACCCAGACCCTCTGAATGTGGGTGTCAGTTAGGAGGACTGGGCAGCCTAAGGGGCTTCTAGTAGTGGATCAGTATTTATCCTTAGTGTACAAATGGATTTTGGGAACCCATTCCTCATAGAGGGATACTCTCTAGACACAAGGGGATGGCCTAGGCCCTGCTCCAAATGATGTGACCGACTTTGAAGATCCCCCATGGAAGGCCTCACCCTCTCTGGGAAGCAGAAAGGGGGTGAGATAGGGGGTCGTTGGCATGGGAAGGAGAGGAAGGGAAGGAGAGGGAACCGGGATTGACATGTAAAACAAGATTGTTTCTAAGTTAATGAAAAATATATAAAATAAACATCCCTACCAATAAATTTTCAATTTTTATTATTCATTGATGAACACCAGCAAACTTCCAACTACCCATGAGCCATACTGTAACTCAGGGAAGGAGTATGATGGCCAGGAAACTTTTGCATACGTTAACTCTGTACATTATGTTATAAGAAAGGTAGAGCTTTCCAACTGAGAGGGCTGGATTGTTAGCTGAGTCAGCAAAGTGCTTAAGCAATGTTTACAAGGCCCAGAGTTCCATTCCCAGCACGGTGTTAAACCGGGCACCGTGGCTCAGTACTGTAATTCCAGCAATTTGGAGATGAAGGCAAAAGTATTAGAAGGAACATGTCTGGGGCATGAGCTTCTGTGCATGCATTCATTCAATACATGTTTGTAGAGCAATGGAGTCAGGTGTTATACTATGCATGGCAGGCATTGTAAAGAAATAACACATACCATGTTTAGTCATTAAATGTTTATGAATGAGTATACATTGTGATAAGCATCCTAGCAGAACATATAGACACTAGATATTTATGAAAGAGTGTATATTGTTACAAGCACCCTGAGCTTTCCGGAGGAAAGAAAAGTTCGCAGTTATAACACAATGAGAGAAGAGTAAGAACAGAACTGTAGTTGGGCCTTTTTATCAGGACCATAGGCTCCCCCCAATAATGACACAGAGACTTACCATTAATTACTAAAGCTCAGCCAATAGCTTAGGCTTGTTCCTAGCTAGCTGTTATGACTTATATTAATCCTTATGTATTAATTTACTTTCTGCCTTGGGGCTTTATTACCTTTACTCTGTACTGTCCATGCTGCTTTCCCCATGTCTGATGGCCACTCTCCCTTCTTCTTCCCAGCATCCTCTCTGCTCTCTAAATTCTGCCTAGCTATTGGCCTTTTAGTTTCTTATCAAACCAATCCGAGCGGCGCGTCTTCATAGCGCACAAAATGATTTGTTCCACAACACAGAACTGAGAACAGAGAGAGCACAGACAAGGGAAAGAAGAAGCTGCTGGGGTAGGGGACATTGGCAACTATTGGCATTATCCCTGCTGGGTGGAGGCATCGCTGTAGGGTGATGGCATTAAAACCCCAATGAGTGTCCTTCCTGTATCTCCTTATATTTTGCAGCCTCCTCTAACTCTGAAATCAGGCCTGGCCGTGGGACTGTTGGACAATGAGAGGCTAACAGACGTAAGGAGACTGGAAACATGAAAAAGGCAATGCCAGCATGTTTCCACTTTCCCTCTGCCTTCTCTGTGGCACACTCAGACTCAGACTGGCCACACTCAGACTGGTCACACTCAGACTGGCCAGCTGGAGGGGTGTAAGCCACATGGCATGAAGGGACTTAAGGAAGAAGGCTCAGCCATTGCTAACAGGAAAGACTCCCTGCCCCTTAGCTGACTACCAGCCAGTGTGTTGAGTAGCCCCTCCCCCCACTGGAAACACCCTGTTAACCATAGACTTATGAGCAATAAAGAGATGTTTATTGTTGTAAACGCTTGAATGCTATGGTGGTTTTATTTCACAGCATGATTTAATCACAGATTATTGATATAAACAGTCAGGAAAACAGGCAACGAGTGCTTCTTAGAAGAAGCCAATACTAGAGGTGGCTCTTAAAGCAAATCTAAGGTTCCCAGAATACATGCTGACTTACTCATATGGGAGTTCTAGATTCTTCTAATGAGATGCAAATTAGACTTTTTTTCTTGGGTACAAATTTTGATCTTTTTCCTTTAGCTGATCAGTTACTCAGTGAGAGAGCTTGTGTCCCTGGCTTATACCACAGAACTTAGGTGCGCCTCAGATGATTTCCTTCGGAGTTTGAGGGGTAATTTTAGAAAGGGAGAGGATTTCGCTCTTGACCCAGTAAGTTCTGAGAGGCCATATGCTATGTGTGTCAACAATGATTATTAAAACACTTAATGCACTGCTGAGTTCCCAAATGCTATGCGCTTTCCATGCCAAGCAAGGAGGATGTGGCACTGCTGAGCATTTGGAATCCAGAACAATTTGTTTAATAGTCTATGTCCTATGTGTGCTCCTAAAACATATTTTTAGCCTTGCTGAGGACAAAAGTCCAAGGACCCAGCAAAGCACAGACCACCACTGCGAGGGCAATCCCACAGGCTTTCAGATGCACTTGAGTGCAAATGTTTTCATTATCATTCCTCTCCATCCCATATAAATTCAATTCAATTACATAAGCATCTTGAGGAGCCCCTGTGGTTTTCAAGGCTCTTTAATTTTTTGCACTCTAATAAATGCACTCTTTGTTTATTTCTTCATTTCGTTTCTGCTACCCCACCTTTTTCTTCTTATTTCCAAAACTTTCGGAAGTTATTATGCATATTAGACCCTCCTTAGTCTGGGTTTTGTCTTCCCCAGTCACAGAAATTCGATTTACCCAAGAAAGCAGCCATGTCTCTACTCCTAAAACCACAAGGCACATCTCTGTACTCATTCCTCCTTACATGGAATTCTACCTTTTAGCCCCAACTTGAACTACCCCGGGGTAAAGGCCAAGTGATCCACCCTCAGTTCATTCTGGTTTTGCTAGCCAGTGGGGGAAGGGCTTTGTGTTACCCTACAACCAAGTAACCAGAGACTCCTTCTGTTGTTTTCTAAGGGTTTTATTTCCTTTCAGAACAAAAGAAAACAACTGCACTCTTATTTTTAGATCGTATTTCTGGAGATACTACACACACACACACACACACACACACAAAGGACTGAGCATGGCTACCAGTGTGAAAACTGCTCTAGCTGCAAGGTGTGGGTGTGGGTGGGGTGGGGTAGCATATGAAAAGACCCTCTGAATGACACAATAGGGCAGGCCATAGACTGGTAGGGGATGAGCACAACTGGGTTGCCGAGAGAACACGTAGCAAGGTGCTATGAGATGAGTCAGAGGAAGGCCAGGTTTACCCTGGCAGACTTATTTGTACACTCAGAATTTTAGTATTTGACCTACACATGGTAGGAAAACCTTGGAGGCTTTTGATCAAGGGAGAGGAGCCAGGGCTCTGTTCTCAGTTTGGAAAGATGCCTTGGTGCAGCGTGCAGATGGGAGGAGAGAGCTGAAGGCCAATAAGGATAATGGAAAGTCAAGGGGAACGATGACACAGCTTTAGACTGGGGTGGTGAGGCTGGGCATAGAAAACAATGCGCTGACCCAAGAGAGATCCAGGAGACAAAAGAGGCCTTGA